AGGAGGTGGAGAGGAGGAGGAGGAGGAGGAGGAGGAGGAGGAGGAGGAGGAGGGGGATGAGCAGGAGCAGGGGCAGGGGCAGGAGCAGGAGCAGGAGCAGGACCAGGTCCAGGAGGAAAAGGAGCAGTGGCTGCGCGACCTCGTCGGGCTGTGGCTCCTCTCGCCTCGGGCTCCTTGCTGCCAGGGCGCTCTGGCGCCTGAGCCCGGCGCGGAGGTGGCCGCCTCGCCGCCTCCGTCTGCCAGGTCTTCGGCGCTTCCGCTGGCGTCCCTGGGGCTGCAGGCTGCTCGCTGTCGCTGCTGCGCCCATCCGAGCTCTGGAGCTCGTCGGAGGCGGCCTCCGACCCCGTCCCCGGGCGGTCCGCTATCGCCTTGGCCACCTCCTCCTCCTCCTCCTCCTCCTCCTCCTCCTCTCGACGTTCGTTATCGCATGCATGCCCTATAGTCCCATAGTCCTCCTCCTCCTCCTCCTCCTCCTCCTCCTCCTCCTCCTCCTCTACCTGCAGCACGAGGGCGGCACGCTGCCTCACCTCCATGAGCCCGAGGATCTTGCCCACGTGCTTCTCGACCTGTCTCTCCAGCTCCTTCTTGACGGCCTTCCACAGCTCGAACGGGCGGTCCTGCGCAAGCGGGCTGGCGGCTTACCTCTGCGCGTGCCCACGCGCTGGGGTTGCGGCTCCTCCACCCTCCGTGCATCCAGCCGCCGCTGCGTGGAGCGCTTTGGCGGCCCGTCCGCAGCCCTGGTTCGGGCGGGTGCGCCGTTCTGAAGTACGCCTGCCCACGCCCTAGCTGACCTTGGCCAGAGCCAGAACGGCTAGGAGGAGGAGGAGGACGAGGACGAGGAGGAGAAGGATGATGCTGCCGCTGATGACGCTGATGATGATACTGACGATGATGATAATGATGATGATGATGATGATGATGATGATGATGATGATGATGATGATGCTGATGCTGATGCTGATGCTGATGCTGATGCTGATGATGATGATGATGCTGATGATGCTGATGATGCTGATGATGATGCTGATGATGATGGTGCTGATGATGATTATGATGATGGTGATGGTGATGGTGATGGTGACGATGATGAAGAAGATTATGATGCTGACGATGATGATGAGGATGATGATGATGAGGAGAAGGAGGACCAGTGTACACCCAAGACTCCTCAACGATGTTGGAGTAAGCCCTCCCTCCAAGCTCCCTCTTCAAGGCCCCTACAAGGGTTCTTTTTCACTGAGGGAACTGCCTCGTTGGGAGACAACCGTTTGAAGACACTGTAGCGTGCCAAAACATCGTTATCGGGATTCCAACGCCGCGAATCAACATAGCTGCTGCGTCTCGACGATCTGGTATCGTGCCAGAATACCATTCCTGGGATATCAACACCGCGAATCATCGTAGCTGCTGCGCCCTCACAATCGGGAGTCCTTCCAAAGAACCGTTTCTGGTACGACGTTGACCATGGGAACTCGTCGACATCTTGCAGTGCTTAAGACGAGTGTGCGCGGTGCTAATGCGAGAGCCGGAAACGACCCGCCTTCAATCTGTGAAGCTATGGAAAACCTACCCCTTGTATGTTTTCAAAACGAATGTGCGCAGCGCTCAGGCGAGATCCACATTTTGAAAACGACCTGCCCTCAATCTGTGAAGCTCTTGCAAATTTAGAAAACGAATGCGAGCGGCTCTCAGGCGAGAGCCACATACTCAAAACGACCCGCCCTCAATCCGTGAAGCTCTCGCAATTTTCTAAATCCGAGTATACGCGGCGCTCAGACAAGAGCCACACTTTGAAAACGACCCGCCCTCAATCCGTGAAGCTCTGGCAAATATTGAAACCGAATCTGCGCGGCGCTCAGGCGAGAGCCACATTTTGAAAAGCACCCGCCCCCCATCTGTGAGCTTGCTGCCAATTCCTAAGATCTTCCGGGTCATAAGCGGTAGGTCTCATGCGAAACGCCCGGCCCGCCCTTTCAACCAGCGTCCGGATGCGACAGGGAGGAGCTCTTTGTAAGGAAGAGGAATGGAGGAGGAGCAGGAGGATGAGGGGGAGGAGGAAGAGGAGGGAAGGAAGAGGATGATGATGATGATGATGAGGAGGAGGAGGAGGATGAGAAGGAAGACAAGAGATGGCCGTTGATGAGGCGGAGGAGGAGGGAGGAGGAGGAGGAGGAGGTAGAAGCATAGCCGATGACGATTATGAGGATGATGATGATGATGATGATGATGATGATGATGATGATGATGATGATGATGATGATGCTGACGATGATGATCATGATGATGATGCTGCTGATGACGATGATGCTGCTCATGAGGATGCTGATGATGATGATGATGATAATGATGATGATGATGGCGGTTGGTGATGATGATGCCGATGAGGATGCTGTTGATGATGCTGATGTTGATAATGTTGATGATGATGCTGATAATGATGCTGCTGATGATGACGATGATCATGATGATGCTGATTATGATTGTTATTATTATGATGCTG